AGTCTCTATCATACCTTGTCTAAATACCAACCACCACCCTGGAGCCTCTCCAGATGCCTAGTTCCAGAGGCTCGTTTCTGGTATCTTCCCACAGTCAGTTGTTCCACAGGCTTCTCAAACTCCAACTGGCCAACACAGAACTCATTTTCTGTCCCAAAACACACAAATTCTTCTTCTTGTTGTATTTCTTATCTCAGATAAGGTCATCATGATCTACCCAGTCATACAAGCCAGAAAAAAAAAAAAAAAAAAAAATCAATCTGGACTTGTCCCTCTCCTCCATTTCCAACTCCCAAACATCCTTCAAGTCAAATACCAAATCCTCATCAACTCTACCTAAAAAGTATTTGTTGTACCCTCTCCATCCTCTTCCTACCAGTATGACTTCAAGTCCATCATGCCTCATTGGCTCTACCTCAAGTCTCACCACTCTGAAACAAGACCCCCCGCAGACACCTCCGCCTGGCTAACACTATTGTGGGAACCACTCCTCTACTCTTCTGAAAACATGTGTTTCAAATAAGCACCTTCCTCCACCTAAGCGCCTAGGTGGGACATGTGATCCAGACATGATCAGAGTCTGGATCCACATCTGGATCCACCAGGGATAAGAATGTATCTCAGCCTGGGCCAATCAGTACCTTCCTCGGGACTTCTTACCAAAAAAAAGCGCACATTATTTTTCGCAGAGATCACTGGCTGTGAGAACAACGTACCTTAAACTGGCAGTATTCGTCTCTGCCGCCCCAAGCCTGCTTCAGAGTCCAAACCTCACAAAGAAAGCAAGCTGGGAGACCACGAGCAAGAGACGCTAGTGGTATTTTCCTGAGATCTAACGAAGCCAAAACTTCTTTGTTACGTATGCAAGTAAATCCTTTCTTAAAATCAATTCCACTTTGGTTTCTGTTGCCTATCAAGTCCTAACACATTTCTTAACAACGAAATGGAATTCTCTAGCTCCACTAACTAAAATCTTTCATTCTTTATTACTACTAAGGTTAAAGTCCAAGACCTTAAGGTCTACAAATTCTGGCCCCTTGATTATTTGATGGCATAATAATCAACTCTGGCATTGCAAACACCATAAGCAAAGAAAAAAAAAAATAAATGACAAACTACAGAGGAGTATCTGCAACTTTTGCCCCAAGGGCTTAGGTTTTTAATATATAAAGTTTCTAAGAAATGGAAAGAAAAAAAGTACTCCTAGAAAAACAAGCAAAACAATGACCATGTGGTTCACAGAATATAAAACTCAAATGGATTTTAAACATAAGAAAACATGCTCAATTTCATTTATGATAAAAGGAATGAAATTAAAATCACACAAACTTCATTTGCATATATACGGCAAAAACTCTAATCCTTACAAAATCTCAATGACCAAGACCATGGAAGAACGGGCAGGCATTTACATAGATTGCTGGCTACAAAAGGGTACAACCCCTGGGAAGAGGAATCCCTCTGGAGACTAAATGACCCAGCAATCCGGAAGCTTATAACAAAGACACAGTGACAAAAAGACAAACAATTCCATGTTATCAGGGTACTCACTGCAACACTATGCAAGGGTAAAAGACTAGAAATTGCCAAATGGCCACCAGTAAAGTCAGAATGAAGAAACCATTCCAGTACTCAGCAGCTAGAAAATGAAGATCTCTATATATTGTTCTTTTTTTTTCCTATACATTGTTTTTATGTGACCTCCAAGTATACTACGTCCATATAATAAACAGGGGGAAACGTATCTCAGTATATGTATACATACTGGTATGTTGTAAAAACACACATACACAGAGATACACTTACACGCACACACTATATACTCAGAAAGATCACACACAAGCACACACACAGATACCGCCTGTATGTGCTTACATTTTCAAAAAGTATCAATAGAAGCAAAATTAATTCTAAGATAAACGACCTAGTTTCTTTTAAAAATGCTATTAAAAACAAGAGGGAAATTTACTTTAAATTAAAGATGTTCAACCAAATGGGATGTATAGATCTTACATGAATCCCCATCCAAAAAAACCAACTATAAAAAGACACTAAAAAAAAAAAAAAAAACTGAGATAACTAAAGAAAATTGAGTATGTACTGGGCATTAGATGGCATAATTTATTGTTAAGCTTGCTGGGCATGATTATGGTACTGCAGTTATATATATTTTTTTAAAGTTTATAACTTTTAATCTAGAGATTTCCCTTTAAAAAAAAAAAAAAAAAACAGGGCGCCTGGGTGGCTCAGTGGGTTAAGCCTCTGCCTTTGGCTCAGGTCATGATCTCAGGGTCCTGGGATGGAGTCCCGCATCAGGCTCTCTGCTCAGCAGGGACCCTGCTTCCCCCTCTCTCTCTCTGCCTGCCTCTCTGCCTACTTGTGATCTCTGTCAAATAAATAAATAAAATCTTAAAAACAAAACAAAACAAAAAAACAATAAAACAAAACACTGTTTATTATGTATTTGTCTCACAGAAGTGCCCAGGTATCATTTTAAATAATCCTTTATCTCTCGTATTTTTTGTGAACTGATTATTCCGTCTAGAAGCTTATAATTCAGGTTCGATTTCTTCAGCAAGAATATTCCATAGGTGGCATTTTATACTTCTTACATATAGCCCTGTTGCCAAGGATCCCATTCTCCTTTTCGGCCTGACAAACATTTACTTACTCTTTAAAGACTTTAAAGAACACGTTCCTTCAGAAAACCTCCGTAACCTCCAGGCCCATACTAAGCTGGCGTCCCCTACTTCCTAATTCAATAGCTAAACCTAATGGCACTGGAACTGCCTACCCCGTTGCCCCAGTCAGGCCGTGAACGCCGTTAGCAAAGGACTAGTGTGCAGGACCGGACTCCACGGCGAAGTTCCAGAAAGTAATCTATACCCAGTACACACATCAGATCATTGCCTGGTGTCATGGCCCAACCATTCATACCTGGTAAGCAGGCAGCGCAGGGCCAGAATCTCCAGGTAATACAGGAAGTACTAATGTCCCGAAGGGGTAAGACCCGTAAGAATATCAAAGGGAGTTTTTGCACCTGGCAGACTCCTTACTATTTGTAAACACTGTCTCCCACAGCTGCACGTCTCAATGGGGAACTTACGGAAGCGCTTCCCACATCCCAAACCGGAATGGGCATTCAAATTGCCCAGAAACCTAATTCAAAATGCAGATTTGGATTCAGCAGGGCTGAAGTGAGGCCCCAGATTCTGCACCCCAGGTGGATGCTGTTGGTCTGCAGACTACACTTCCTCCAGTAAGGTTCTGGGAGACCTGAAAGTCAGCCCTCTCTCTGGGAACATCCAGCATTAACTCCTGTCTTACTAATCATCTCTTTAAATCTAACACAGTCTGTGTCATTAAAACAGATAAACAAATCCAAACTTTAATTCTTCTGCACCTGTTGGCATCTTTCTTCTAATATATCCCCCCGTGACAACTCTGCCATCTCTCCTCCATCTACATCGTTCCAGCCTGGAAAATACAGGCCCTCAGTAAATGCTTGTTATGTCATAGTCTATATAATCTCAACGTATTTAATTCTTTCCCACCGGCTTCTTGTTAAGATAGGTTTGTTCACTGGTCCATCTTTCCCATGTGTTTATCAACCCCCCGAAGGCAGAGACTCTGCCCCTCGCGCGCAGGGTCAGGTCCGGCACGTAAGCAGCATCAGCGGGGTTTGCGAACCAGCCTGATGACGAACACATAAACACGCTACGCCAGGTTCTTGGAAAGAGCCCTGAATACCAACCTCTCCTTTTTCCCGAGGGACTTAAATGCTCACATGTAGGACTTGTTTTCACAAAAGTTTAGTTAACATACACCGAAAAGGATCATCAGCTCTACTTAACAAATAAGAAAATAGCAAAAGAAATTTCTGTATTATGCTTCTTCATAGACAACCTCATCAAGATAGGAAAAAACGTTTCACAAAAGGTACCTCCGTCTTCCCACATTCATCAGGTGGATCCTGGTGTATGGCCATTTGATACTTGACATATAAAGAAAATGACTGGCTGAAGGACGACTTGAACTCTGGGTCCTCAAAGGAGACAGGTACTAACCTCACCTTCAGAGCAAGGAAAATACAAGCAAATGCTATTGAAACATCTCTACCCACTGACGTGCTTCTGAAGGTGAGGCTAGAGTAAGATCTCCGCAAATCCACTTCCAAAGCTCAGCGATGGAGTTTTTCATGAAATGAATTAACCCCGGAATGTGCTGACTGGCCCAGAGCCTAAAGCGCCAACTTTATCCTAACACTTAGGAAAATTTTTAACTTCTAAGGGCCAGGACAATTCATTTTTCTTTTGTTTTTTACTCTTTCCACATATCGTGATTCTCTGCAGAGTCAACAGTGTTGCTCATGGTAGTGGCCACTACTTTTGTCCCTCTGCTAGTATTAAGTGTATTAACATTTTTCCCCTTCCACATTTTCTTGCGTATTCTGATTTATAAAATTACAAGCATATGAGAACTTCTATCAAAATATTATCTCAAAAAAAAATTCTACTATCTTACTTTTCTAGTCCCACTCAGTTGTGTATGGGGATGACATCAACAAAGTATAATTTAGCTGTCATGAACTCTGTCTACACATGACTTTTAAAAGGAGATAAGGCCTATTAACCATGTTGTGCAAATATGCCTATCATAAAAATATAAAGACTTTTTGTTTTTTCTCATAAATATTTTATCTTAGAGCTCTACTTATTACTAATTTCCAGATAAATACATCCAGACATAGCAATGCTAAAGATAATTCATTTTATGTGCTACTTTCCACTTTGCAATTACGTGTGACTGGCACTTAACATGTCCTAGGTAAAATCTGCACTTTCAGAATGTTCGTTACTCCACACTCCTATCCTTTTGCAGATATGCTGCAAATTGAATATAAATAAAATGTACCACAAATAAATCAAGTTATAATACAATGGTATCAAATGGAGGGGAAAGTTCCATTTGCACAGAAAAATTACACTTGGCCTGCTGACCTGGCTCACAGTTGGTTTATCAGGTGGGTCCTGGTGAATAACCATCTGGTAACGTTTATAGACCTGGTAAGACTCCTGAAATGTGGCTTTGAACTGAGAACTTGGTGGAGATGATCTCACCACCCTCACCTTCAGAAGGAGTTAAAAAACAATGTTCATTAATCATTTATTCCACAGAATACGCATTAACAGTTACTCCCACCCAAAAAGAACCAAAAGTTTCCATACAAATATTAAAGCATGCACATATAATATTTTAACATTACAAATGAACAAGATAGTAAATTTTTCTTTAAAAAGTTATTTCTCCAACTTCCAGACTTATTAAAAAGGCAAAGGATCCTATCTAAACTCTTTAAGATTTTTTTTTTCTTTTTTAACATATAATGTATTATTTGTCTCAGGGGTACAGTTCTGAAGACTAAGATCTACGACCGAATTATGGAAGATTGACTCTACTGGAAAATGGCAGAACACTTCTGGCACTCAAGACACAAACACAAATAAATACTCTTGAATTCTAGTTGTACGGAACGCACCTTCAGTAAATCAGAGTCCAGAGTGCTAACCATTACACTATGGAACCCCACTCAGTAAATCATTCAGAAAAACTAAAAATGTGAATATATATTTTTAGACATTCTTTATGCATCACTGCTAACTCTAAACTTGAAATTTTTTTTGTAAGTGTGAAAGACAATTCTCAAAAAGTATTCCTATTTCGTGGTGTAGTTAAGAACTAAGACCCTAAAGTTAGATTTCTCTTACTCAAATTTTCATGTCACCATCTTGGTCAAGCAGACAAATTTACCTCTCTGTGCCTTGGTTTCCTCACACACAAAATGAGGATGAGTTTACAACAGTAACAGCACAGTAATGGTGAACACTTACTTTAATAGTGATTATTTACTAACCAGTTAAAATACGTTAGCAAAACAGAATAGTCAAACAGGAAATCAAATGCAATATAACAAAAGAGCTAACTGGAAAATTTTCACGTGTGCCGTAAGAAGTAATTCTTCTGCAAACAAAAAGTAATATAAACACCCGGTGGACAAAAAACCTCTGCCCATCCAAGGTATCATTACATTAAAAAAGTAAAACCTGCCTATTGTAGAGCTGCTGTTCTACACTCTAAGTAGCGCGTCCAATTCTCTTTACGATCTGAGAAGGAGAAAGTCAATACCAAAATCAGAGCAGCTAAGAGATTATAATCTCAAAGTTGTTAAGATTTCTGTCTGATAATATACATGATCCTAAGGTTTAGATTCCGTTAAAGTTAATTTTCAATATCAGGTCCTTAGCAAAGCTCTCAGATAGTATTAAGCTACAAATTCAAAGGCTGACCCCGTTATTAATGAGATATGAAAATATAATAAAATCATTACAATTAATATTTTGGGGAAAAATGTATAAATACCAAATACTGAAGAATGTAGATTTAATCTGCAATGTAAATAAAAATAGTAGGAATACTCTAGAAGTAATCATACTACGCCTACAGAGGTTTGAGAGAATTACTGAGAGAAGATTAAAGTAGTGCCACCGAGTACTATTTAGTCAATTCCTAACTGCTGGCTGGCACATGTACTACATCTGTTTACCCACTAGAATGGGTAAAACAGTGATCCCCTGATGTGATCTATTCTCCTTCACGATCGAACCAAACTGCTAAAAATGAAATTTTAAATGGCATATTTTGTCCCTTTAACTACTAGATATCAATTAAGGGATACAATAAGCCAGAGTCCCTTACATAGTAACATGCTAAAACTGGAATTATTTTCACAACTTTAGTAGCCAAACTGCCTAAAGTATTTATTTTAAATCTTAAAAAAAAAAAGTGTTTTCTCAAATAGCAGTTAACTTAGTAAATACAAATGCTACTTCATCCCAATTCACTGTAATTTCCCATTATTTAAATAGTAAAATATCAACTGAGTAGTATAACCTCAAATGAAAATAAACAAGGTATCAACAACCACAAAAATATAAAATAAAACACCCTTCAAAGTACCTCTAACTTGTGTGATGCATTCTCTGGTAAAGATTCAAAAATTAAATCTTCAAGTGATTTGGGCTGGTTGGATTTATTAGCCTTTGGTGGGAACAAAGATGGTGGTTCACCTTGAGCCTGGAAACCCTCAAGTTCTCCAGCTGGGTTCTGCTGCATGAGTTTTAACCTTTTCCTTTCTTTTCGGATTTCCTTTGCTTTCCGACATGGAGGCTTACTCAAATCTGCCCCTTTGCCTAAAAACAATTGCAAAATATTAGACCAATCACATCTGACTCTAGAATTTTTTTGTTTTTACCCAAAGTCTCAAAGATTCTACAGAATTAAATCTAAAGAGTTCCAACAGTTAGGTTAGCTTTGCAGGTAGGTATCTCAGAAGATTCTGATGTAGAGCCTTAAGTTGATCTTAAAATTCTACCTTAGATGTAGGAACTGTCAAAGAAAGTAAATAGTCACAGAAACTTTTCACACACCTCCATGAAAATAAAATTAAAAAAAATTTAATATTCATCCACTTTTCTGCCTTTTTAAGTTGAAAAAAACATAATCGAATATCTTCTACTCTAGGACATGGATATTTCCAGCCCATTCCTGAGGGACATTCCTCTCAAAGCACTGGTGACATAAATACATGCTTAGGACCTGGGTGTAAGAAAACACTCCGGCAGGTTTTTTGATGAAAAAATATCCTTGAAATTACTTGAAAGTACTTGTGTCTCTCCATCTAACAAATGGATGGGGTCTCATTTGTTCAGCTCCAGCTAATGAGTGTTGTTTGAATTAAAAGAGCAAATACCAAATTAAAAGGCCTTTAAGATATAAACATTTTAGATAAAATAAACCACAAATTTTAGTAAGTGCCCTTTCATCTAGCAGAGTCTTCAAGGACTTGATGTTGAGAAGATCATTAAGAGGTAGAGGCAAATAACTAACACAAATGAAAACTTCAAAATAATTTAAATGCCCAATACCAGAATAATTCTACAATTTTTAAAACAGCTAAAACACAGAATACCAGTCATTAGAAATGCTTAGAAATTTTCAGGGATTTGTCATTACACAAGGTTAAAAAACAATTCCACTTATGTATAAACAGATACATGAAAAATACTTTTTAAAAAGCCTAGAAAGAAACATAACAGTCATTTTACATGGATTTAGAATCAGGGAAAGGACTGTTCTTGTTTTTTTTCTTGCAGTGTCCTCTTTTCTCCAAATTCTCTACAATGAACATACTTTTGTAATTTTTTTAAGGTCATTGACAAAATAAAAATGCTATTTTAAGATCCTAAAACAGTATTTACAAATCATATGAAAGTTCGCAATATGAAGTTCTACAAGATTAGCAAGTTCAATTTTATAGAAGAGAAATTCAAGACCCAGGGTGTTAAGGGACTTCCAGAGACCAAGAGCTGGTCAAAAGAAACGAATCTGATACTGGCTGCCTGGGTGGCCCAGTTGGTTGAGCGTCTGGAACTTAATTTCGGCTCAGGTCATGATCTCAGGGTCATGATATGGAGTCCCGGATCTGGCTTCATGCTCAGCATGGAGTCGACTTGGGATTCTCCCTCTCCTTCAGTCCCTTTCCCCGCTCACGCACGTTTGCTCTCTCAAATACATAATAATCTTATTTAAAAAACAAATTTGATGAGAAAATAGTGACTTCACTAATAGTAAAATCATTTTACTTCACTATCATGTTTTCCAATTAAAAACAAACTTTACATATAAAAACAGACTTTGAATAAGTCTAATAACCAGGCAACAAAGGACTGATTCTATGATTAACCATTACTCTATTGCCTTAGAGAATGAATTTTCTTTGGCCCAGGAATCTGTCTTCCTCAAATTTGTTCTGAGAGGCACAAGAGCATTTGGTTAAGAGCACACTCCCTGACATGGGCTGCCTGAGGTCATCTCTGTCACTGGCTAGATGACCTTGGGCAAGTTTCCTCATCTATACTAGTAAGATAATAACCAGTCCTACCTATGGAATTCTGTGAGGATTAAATCAGTTAACACATATGTAGCTCATAAAACAATACCTACTACTGGGTATCTGGGTGGCTCAGTTAGGGCTGCCTTCGACTTGGGCATGATCCCAGAATCCTGCGACTGAGCCTCGCATCAGGCTCCCCACTCAGCGGGGACTCTGCTTCTCCCTCTGCCCTTCCTCCCCACTTGTGCATGCTCTTTCTCCCTCTCTCTCTCTCTCACACAAATAAATAAATAAAATCTTTTTTAAAAACCCCACTATTTAATTAAGATTATCTATTATTAGCTATCATATGCACCACCAATTCCTACAATGTTTTACCTATACAGGTGTCCCATAAATTGTAATAAGGCAAAAACCAACAAACACACAAACAAAATCCCTGCATTTTCTAAAAGTTATTTAAAACTACATTCCCTACCAAAGTTTCAAAACTATGAACAAATTATAAAACTGGAATGAAGTGAGAAACAAGTTTCCAGTTTTGTTTTGTTTTGTTTTTTTCCCAGAAATACCACCTATGTCAGCTCCACACTAATTAATTCATTGGACTAAGCAAACAATACTTACTGTGGTTGCTTTACTCTACACATATGTACTATCGCATTACCAACTGCAATAGACAGCAAATTAGGATTTCAGCTTATTTAGGGAATAAAGATTTCCCCAGATCAGTAAAATCCTTCAACAAAATGGGAACAGATCAATATAAAATCAATACACCATACCAACCCCACACCACAGAGGCTCACACCACTCAAGGATCCTAGATTAGTCCCAAGAGTTTTGAATAGAATTCAATAGACCTGCATAATTTCTAATTACATTTCAGGAAATATACCTTTAACATTTTTAAAATAAAAAGGAAATGTATGCTTCAGGAGAAAATCCAGAGATTCCTACATTTTAAAATCATCTCACATTTTTAATGAGAAATATCATAAAGGGAAAATAACGGCAAACTTTTTTTTTACTGTTTTAATAATCACATGCTGAAGATCAGGCTGGAATTGTTATTCTAAAAGTTTGTGTTCGATAGAGTAAAGCATGTAGGTAACTGCAATATTCTAATTCTAATTCTACCATTCTCTGTGTCCTTGAGAACCAGGTTTCTCAGTGTGGAAGAAAAGAAGATCTAAATGTCAAACAAACATGTAAAAATATGATAGTCCTGAATTTGAACTGCAAGTATCAATATGGTACACACTCCTTGGAGAAATGGCTGTACAAGATGATCCAGGAGCCTCAGGTCAGAGGAAGCTGCCATGACTACTACCATTTCATCCCCCGAAAAACTATTAGACAACTTAGAGAAATTCCCACAGGAGCAAAGAATTAAGACACAGCCAATGTGTTTAGATCCATGAGTTCACAATGATACCAGAAATAAACAAAGAAAGAAAGAAAAGAAAAAAAAGATTGATTAACTAGTCCTTGTTAGAAGAGTTATTTTGTAGGATGGACAATAAAATGCAAGAATCAAGCATTCCTCTTGCCTTTCTGAGTTCCATGAGAAAGAGATGAGAAGAGGTTCTGTTTATGGAAGGATCTAGCCAGTAAATGAAAAATGAATGACAGACAGAATATCTAATGGATCGATGGATTTAGGCATTGAGCACTGACCCATGGCTATTCGCATTAACAAAGAGAGGTACCCAGACATTATGTGTCTCCTGAAAGAACCTCCCACCACCCATGAAGTAACCTTACCCCCCTCAAATAAATAATTTGAACTAGAATCTGATTAAGACTTCTCTCTCTCCCTGAAAAGCAAAACAAAACTGAAACACCAAAGAAAAAACAACAACAACAACAAAAACAATTTAATCTTAACTCTGAACTGATTTAATCTTGACTCTCTAGATCCAACCATCAATTTACAGGCAGGTAAAGGAGTATGTTAAACTGTACTGTGGATGTAATCAGACAACCCGGAACAGCCAACCTAGTTTCTTCAAAAAACAAAGTGCAAATAAAAAAGTGGGAGTGATGGAAGGAACCTACAGATCTACAGGGGTTTTCTAACTGTGTCAGTCAACTGCAGTATGTGGCTGTGTTTGGATCCTGACGCAAACAAATACATAAAAATTAAGAACTCGAACACGGACTATTCAATAACAGTAAGGAATCTTACTCAGGTGTAATGGTGGTACTTGTGTATTTGAAAATTATTTTTTAAAAAGATGTATTTAAGATTTCTTTTTTTTTTTAAGATTTTTATTTATTTATTTGACAGAGATCACAGGTAGGCAGAGAGGCAGAGAGAGAGATGGGGAAGCAGGCTCCCCACTGAGCAGAGAGCCCAATGCGGGGCTCGATCCCAGGACCCTGGGATCATGACCTGGGCTGAAGGCAGAGGCTTTAACCCACTGAGCCACCCAGGCGCCCCTAAAGATGTATTTATTTGAGAGAGAGAGAGAGAGCGCTCACAGATGTGAGTGGGGAGAAGGGCAGAGGAAGAGAATCTCAAGCAGACTCCCCACGGCACATGGAGCTGGAGTCAAGGCTTGATCTCATAACCCATGAGATTATGACCTGACCTGAAATCGTGAGGGGGATGCTTAACCGACTGAGCTACATGGGTGCCCCAAAAGTTCTTATCTTTTAGGGGTGCATTCTGACATATGGGATGACATAATGTCTGGAATTTGCTTCAATACAGTACTGGAGAGGGCAACTGGATGGGAGTACAGATGACACAAGAGTGCCCATCCTGAGTCAGTAACAGTGTCACACGAGAACAGGGTATGTGGAAGTTCATTATAATATTCAGTCTACGGGGGCGCCTGGGTGGCTCAGTGGCTTAAAGCCTCTGCCTTTGGCTCAGGTCATGATCCCAGTGTCCTGGGATCGAGCCCCGCATCAGGCTCTCTGCTCGGAAGGGAACCTGCTTCCTCCTCTCTCTATGCCTGCCTCTCTGCCCACTTGTGATCTCTGTCTGTCAAATAAATAAATAAAATCTTAAAAAAAAAAAAAAAATAGTCTACATTTCCAAAATGAAGGTTTTTAAAATTTAAGAAACTGTAAGTAGTCTTTAAAATAAACAATTAAAATAATAAAAGAACTGACCCTATCACCCAAGAGAATAAGAGTTGAAAGAAATTATCTAAATCATTCAGAACATTTTATTGGACTGTTCTTACTAATTAAGATGAAATCTCAGCTGGCATCCCTTTAAACGTCATGAAAGCCTACATTAAGAAAAACTATATATGAAAAACGCAAACACACACTTTTCTGTATAGTAACATGATTTAGATAAGGAAAACTAAAATAGTAATAAAAATGTCTCCTTTGGGTCATTTTATATAAATAAATATAAGAAAAAACTCAGGAACTGAAGTATAACCATCCAGACTGACATTTTGTGAAATAATTTTTTTTAAAAATGAGGGGCACCTGGGTCACTCAGTGGGTTAAGCCTCTGCCTTCAGCTCAGGTCATGATCTCAGGGTCCTGAGATCGAGACCCGCAATGGGCTCTCTGCTCAGCGGGGAGCCTGCTTCCCCTTCTCTCTCTGCATGCCTCTCTGCCTACTTGTGATCTCTCTGCCAAAAAAATAAATAAAATCATTTAAAAATAAATAAATAAAAATCATACAAACACATGCATGCACACATATATATAACAAACCCATTTAATGCTGGATACATTATTTTTATAAAGATTTATTTGAGAGAGAGAGAAAGGGACGGAGGGATAGAAAGACTCTCCAACAGACTCTGCGCTGAACCCAGAGCCAGACATGGGGCTTGATCCCAGGACTAAGAGATCATGACCCGAACCGAAACCAAGAGTCAGACACGTAAACAACTGAGCCACCCAGGTGCCTCAATGTTGGATATATTTTTAAAACCTAATTCTTTTACAAGTGAAAATATAGAAAAAAATTGTTGACCTTATTAAAGGTGAAGTTAAATATCAAAATTTGGAAATTTTTAAACTAAAATTCATCATGATTCATAAAGAAATCTAATGATAAACTAAAGAACTTTAATGTCTGTACTTTTCAACGTAATACCTAAAATTTACACTGTCTCACTTCACACCAAAAATAAAAACGTTTAGCAGCATATCTTTTCACAGATAAAATCTGATTCTCAAACCTCTAGGATCCTAACGTAGTAAGAAGAAATGGAACTCTTTTAAAATATCTGTATTTGGGGATAATGTAACTATTATTGCAGGCTTTTTAAACATAGCATTTTTTAAAGATATGATCTGTCCATCTAAATCCAGGTAAAACTAAATTGTACAATATACGGATCTATTTGGCAGATTTCACATAATTCGTGTGTATAGCTGATGGGAGAGCCCAAAAGCTACAAAGTCTCAAGCACAAAGAAAATCACTTACTAGGATTTTAAAATGGCCACAGAGCAAACTTGCCTTACCTGGCTTAGGAGCCATGTGTACTTTAACTGGATGGGATGGCTCACCAGAGCCCAACTTCTCCTCTATATGTTGTGATTGAATTAATTCCTTAGGTTCTTCTTTCTTTGGGCTTTTTCCTTTCTTCTTCTCCCCACTCTCAAAGGTCTCTTTGAGGTCATCACTGAGTGTTTTATGGTCACACTGTATATCCAATTTATTTATTAATGCAAAGTCACCTGCAACGCTCTCGTCCATGCTGGGCTCCATGGGCTCATCTACAAATCAGAAGCCAAAGTCCATCAGCTAGGCAATCTGACACAGTTAAGATACACACAGGAAAAAAAACAATACCCCTTCTTTCCCATGTGAAAGAAATTACTGTGTGTGCATAAAACCCATTCTCTTGGCTTCCAAAGTAACAGAACTGTAGTTAAGACTGTGGCACCCAAACAAGGGTATGCACTCCAGTCCCTCTGCAAGTTGTGACCAAGCTCCCACCAATGGAACATAACCAAACTGATATGCTCAATTTGGCCTCACTTGCTTTTAAAGGAATTTTATAATCCTGAACTTTCACTCTTTATCCTACCCACTGGCTGGATTAGTGAAAACCAGAGTGACCTTGGAAATCACACACTGAAGGGAGTCCCACAACGGATGGGGGGAGGGAGGGGACAGAACTGCAGGCTAACATGGAACACCCGTGCTGGACGGTTATATGAGGAAACAAACAGACTTCGATTATTTTTTAGTCACTGCATTGTGGTGTCTTTCTGTTACGGCTGTTTACCCTTCCATTCTACATCACTCTTATGAATTAAGCTGCAGACATAAATAATTTAGAAGCCTGTAACAAGTCAAATAAAGATCCAAATGTACAAGCTATGTGTAAAGACAAGCAACCATCAATTTATAAATGGAAGGCACCTCGAAGCTTATCTGAATATTAATTTTGAAACTCAGAACATGATTCCTAGCCACTGAGAAAAATGTTTGACTAACAAAACTTATTTAGTCTTCACGATTACGTACAGTCAGTACTAACCAGAGTTGCACCAAAATTCTGATGTTTCCAATGCCCGTTTGCCCCTGAACCTCTAGACCCGAGCCTTCCCACCTCTTTACTGCTCATAGTTCTGCCAAGTCTGCTCCAGACTGTCCTGAATCTTGGTCTGTTAAGGACAGTATAGGAGGACAAAGAACTTACCTGTCCTGCTGGCCACTGTATCACCAGTGCTTAAAACAGAGAGTGGCACACTGTGGGCACTGAAAAGACGCTTGGGCCATATTAACAAGTTAAAACTGGGATGGGAGGCTCCCAGGATTAGGTATTTTCTATGGCAGAAGTGAGAAAGAGCTCTAAGGATAGGCGGCATTCCCAATTATTACACTCATGTATTAGGCACTGCCTGCATGAAAACTTTAAAAAGGAAAAGACAAGACACTGAAAAAACTGAAAAAGCAAAGTATCTGTAATGAAAGTTCACTAAATGTTTCTAATTATCTTGAAGGAAATTAACTCGCAATTCAAAATTCATCACACAAATAAGAAAATTTCAGATACTATGATTTACTGAAGTAAGGGCTTCCTCCAACACAGAAAACCTGAGCTTTACGCATCATTCAAAGTGACTGTGCAATCTTGTGTCAGGTGCACCCAAGCACCTGTTTCTCAGATGTAACACCACCTTCCACTTACTTCACAAGGTGCTATCAGGATCAAGTAAGGTAAGAGTTGTCGTAGTACTGTGAAAACTAAAGTTCCAATAAACTCCAAGACATCACAGTATCATCAAAACTGTCCTCCACCTTCTTCCGAGGCTAAACTTTCCCTGACAGACATTCCTCATGTCCTTGACTTTCGGGCCAGTGGTAACAGTGACAGCAAAGCAACACTAACAGCAATCCCCCCCATCAGAGGAACAGCACTACCTGACCGCAGTAAGGACCCATTCCCCTACTTAAGAAATAACAGAAAGGGAACACCTTGGAAATCTACATCAACTGCAGGTAAAGAGGTTTTAAAGCCCCAACTCATCTTACCCTCACAATTTCCTTTGGAAATTTCCCCTTTAGCCAGAAATTTCAACATTTTTTTCAAAACCTTCTTGTGAGATTTTGATGGCTGAAACTGTAAAGGTCGGCACCTAGGAAAGCAAAATAAATATTTAAAAAGTGAACTCAAACTAGGAGAAATAAAATGAGTTCTGGACAGTAAGGCAAAACTCATGCCTGGGATTTCTGGGTAAAGGCAGGGCTTGACACAGCCTCTAGTTCCACCCCAAATCTCACTAAAACTACCTTAAGGAATTAGAAAAAAAGAAAAAGACATAAATTACTGAAAGAAAGAGAAGAGGAGAAATGCTGGCAGCTGCACAGAGCATGCACAAGTGGTAACTGACTTAGCGGCCAAAGAAGGTTGAATCCTAAGCCAACAGTGAGAAAAGCCAGAATGGTAACTAATTTTCTCGCCTTACCCTTACAAACTTTAGGGACTGGCTGACACCTGATACCCCAGGAGATAAGCATGAAGGGGGTCTGAAAATAGATCTCTTGAAAGTCTATTTTGGAAGCAGTTAGATGTCTGATGCCCTCCACCACTCCACACAGATGTCTCCCCACACAACCCAGGAGAAAGCGGCACATTGAGGAAAATATAGGGCCTCCCACATGAGGATGCAGGCACAGTGGAAAGCAATGGAAATGTACTAGCAACAGGAAGCTTAAATGAAAGTGTGCCTACTGAATGCTGAGACCTCCACCCCATTCCCCAACTCAGCCACAAACGCGGGCACTTTCTCTCCAGAATGTGACCAGACCTCGAGATCCCTCGAGATCCAAGGATCCCCACCCCTGGAAAGTCAGAATCGTCACTCAAGAAGAACCTCTCCAAAGACAAGTAACAGCAACACTGGAGAAGGTAACTTGGAGGACACCCAGGGAGAAGAGAGCCTAAAAATACAAACATCCTAAGAAGAACAAGCTCTTATTTCTCTTTAGCTATTACAGCCACACAACAATGGGAGGTTATTAAAAAAAAAAAAAAAGAGAGAGAGAGAGAGAGAAAGAGAGAGAGAGAATCCAAAACCAAAAATCTCTCAGAAGTAAAAATATAATAGAGGAAATAAACAATTAAACAGCAAGGAAATTTTCCAAAAGATACAACAAAGGGGATGGAAAACTGAAGAGAAAAAAAAAATTAGGGGCTCACGCTAAAAGTTCAATATCTCGGGCACCTGGGTGGCTCAATTGGTTAAGCATCTGCCTTCCGCTCAGGTCAGGATCCCAGGATCCTGGGATCGAGTCCTGCATTGGGCTCCTCACTCAGCAAGGAGTCTGCTTCTCCCTCTGCCTGCTTCTCCCCCTACTTGTATGCTCTCTCTGACAAGTAAATAAATAAAAATTTAATATCTGAATGAAGACATTATAAAAGAAGAGAAGAAAAAACGGTGGGGGGCGGGTGGGAAGAAGTTCAACAAAATAGTAAAAGAAAATTTCTGTGAAGTGAAGGATATGATATGAGGGTAAGTAAGTAAGAAGGGCCCCTTAAGTCTGTATGCAATAGATGCAAACAGACACATCATTAGATGTGAAATATCAGAACACTAGGGACAAAAAAACCTTCCAAAAAGAAAGAACATTTTGGACAAAGGAACAAGAATCAGAAGCAAAGCCTTCAAAATTCTAAAGCAAAATTATTTCCAATCTACACTTCTATGCCTGGCCAAACTAGAAGTCTGAGTGGTGAATTAAAACATTTCAAACAGGGGCACCCGGGTGGCTCAGTTGGTTGAGCATCTGACTCTTGGTCTGGGTTCAGGTTATGATCTCAGGGTCATGAGATGGGGCCCTAAGTCGGACTCTCTGTGCTGAGCATGGAGCCTACTTGGGATTCTCTCTCTCCCTCTCCCTCTGCCTCCACCCCCACTCGCTCACTAGCTCTTTCTCTCTTAAAAAAGATTTTTTTCCAAACATACAAAGTCTAAAAAAGGTACTTCTCAAGAAAGCTATTGGAAGATGAGCGGCACTAAAACAAGGAAATAATCCAAGCGGTCAGAGGAGACAGAAAACATGAGATCCAAAGAGAATCCCCAAGATGGCAGTAAAAAGAGATCCCAGGGTGACAGTGATGCATCAGTTGGAAAGACAACCTGTCCAGATCATAGCAGGTCAGAAGACAGCACAGAGGTATCATCAAGAGGACACAAGTGCTAGAGGACCGGAAGCATCTAAACATACCACAACTGTGGGAAGGTTTTTAAAATCGACTGGTGATGGGTAGGTACAGAAGACTATGCAAACAAAAAAAGACTATGGAAAGCAAAAACTTGTGAAGGAAAGAAAATGTAATCATAGTACACTGCATGGTTCGACCATACGGCACATTTACAGGCCGTAATACAGCAACTATACCATTCAATATTATGATCTTCTGAGCTGGGAAGTTAGCAACGAGGACAAAAAGGAGCTTGAATATGACAGGGGCAACAGGGAGGAAATAAAATTAAATCTTTATCTTCCAAAGAGAGAAATTCAGAGATAATGAGAAAAAATAGAGTTGAATCCTTACCTTTTAAAAAGAGAAACCCAGAGATATGAGAAAAACCCAAAGGTAATGAGATAAGGTTTCTGTAATTATATAAGCACATCACTTAAAGGTAGAAAGAAGAAAAAGAAAATCAGTTAAAAATTTGAGAGTACACTGGGAAACAGGAAATAGGGAGGTTCAGGGGACTGCAATTTTGCAAAATAAGTTTATGGAATTGTTTGATTTTTAAATTACCAGCATATATAATTCTATGTAAAAATTAAAAAAAAAAATTCATAGCCAAGGAAGCTCATCCTCACTTACACTCACAGCCCCTGACATCTAACAAGAAGCTACGCTGTAGGTTAGAATTGCCTTGCCTTCGCATTAGGCCTCATTAGATCTACTGTCGTAAACAAAGTTAAAAAAAAAAAGAAAGAAAAAACAGAACAGTAAATGACTCCATAATATCAACACATAAAATGAAGTTGTGTAAAGGATAGCAATTCAGAAAATGTTTGTGATTTCATGCAAAAAAAAAAAAAAATCACGTTTTATAATTATTTTTGTTTTGCAATGTTAATTGAATTCCTTTTCATAAAAACAATATACCTGGAGCAGTGCTTTGCATTGAGAGACACCCAATAAATTATAGAATCTTGGTCTTTTTCTTTAACCCACTGAAATGGACTTTTTTTTTTTTTTTAACCTTTTCTGATTAGGATTCTCAGGGTCCTAGCAAATCAACTCCAGACTGATTTAAACAGAACCCTGGCCATAATCCAATAACAAATTGTTATTTGAAGGAAGAGGACTTCTGTCTTTGACGATGTCACTGCTTCATAAACATTAAAACTGCAAGAGGACATTTGGGGTGCCTGGGCGGCTCAGTGGGCTAAGCCTCTGCCTTTGGCTCAGGTCATTATCTCAGGGTCCTGGGATCGAGCCCCACATTGGCTCTCTGCTTGGCGGGGAGCCTGCTTCCCCCATCTCTCTCTGCCTACCTGTGATCTCTCTCTCTCTCTCTGTCAAATAAATAAATGAAATCTAAAAAACAAACAAACAAACAAACAAAAAACCTGCAAGAGGACACCACAGCTGTCCTGGGATAGTAAGTGAGATGATGTCAGTAAACCAGACACCCACCTTTTCTCTTTATTGCTCCAGTCCTATGACCAGTTAAATAAAAGAAAGGATTCTTAACCAGGAATTAGTGGAACTTTGTGAGCCCACTGGGAGCCCAAGATCATCCTAAAATTAGTATGCAAGATGTTATTACCTATTTTTATCTATACACCTCCTCCCTTTTGTTTGTTTTGCTGCAGAGAGGGTCTGTAACTTTTCATCAGATTGTCAAATCTTTAATCCCAAAGCAAATTAAGAGCAACTAAAGGAAAGAGGTATGAGGACCAGCCAAAACATGATGGATACAACCGTGTTTGCTTTTTTATCTGGAGATTATTCACACTGAAACTGTAGACAATGCTTAACAATGCAACATACTTTCCCTAGTTTGTACCAGAAGAAGAGGAAGGCAAGGAGCACAAGGGAGAAGAGGAGGATCTTTGTAACTTGAGAAGAATGGAAAATCCTTCCATGTCAGACTGGGGTTTGCGGGTTAAGCCATCACTTTGGAGGAAAATAGACATTTTAGTTTAAGTTTTACAATGAAGAAACCTGGACTCTAAATGTGTGCAGCAGATTCGACATCGGCCCCTCCCCCTCCCCTTCCGGCAGATCCCACAGTACTCTTGGAGTGTGACGGCTGTGTTCAGTCATACACCAGAACGTGGAAAGCCCCAAGCTAAGTTCTATAAAACACCTGATACCTAAAAGTAATTTGAGTATTTTCTAATATTCTCACAATATGTCTGAAATCATTGACTAGATTGCTAAGTAGTATATTTTTTCATATCCTATTTACACCCAAACTATTAAACAGTATTATTAAAAGCTACTGATGAAGTAAAAATGTAGCATCAGTATGTAGAAAAGATACAACTCATTTGTTTTTCTTTATAAAGAGTCTAGCTGGAATGAAAATTAACATGTAAAAAAAGCAAGATGTCACTAAAGAATTATACATACTCTTCAAATTATATACAGATCTGGGGCGCCTGCGTGGCTCAGTGCGTTAAAGCCTCTGCCTTCAGTTCAGGTCATGATCCCAGGGTCCTGGAATTGAGTCACGCATTGGGCTCTCTGCTCAGCACGGAGACTGCTTCCTTCCCCCACCCCAACCCCCGCCGCCTGCCTCTCTGCCTACTTGTGATCTCTCTCTGTCAAATAAATAAATAAAATCTTAAAAAAAAAAAATTATATATAGATCCTCTTTCTTACCTTATTGTGTACTGAGGACAACATGTTTGATTCATGACAGGCTTGTACACATATTTCCCACTTCTAAAATTAAAAAGTAGTTTTGTTAATGTCTTACACATTTCTCACTTGTACCAAAGAAGACTAGTATAGGAGCACAAAATTAATTTGAGTAAAAATCTAACCAACAACATAAAAACATTTAGATTTACTCTTCATAACCTAAATAATCTTGCAATATAGACATACCAAAGACAGAGTACAGCCTTTTCCTAAACCTTGATATATGGACTCCAAACTTCTTTACCTCAATTACCCTCTCAGCAGCACCTGCAATCCTTCCCTCAACCCACCATCAATCCTCAACCATAAAGGCAATCAAAGGAAAATCTACTCAAACCAAGTAACAGATGACATCAAAGAATTACTGTGTAAAGTATGATAATGGCATCATAGATGCGTTAAAAAGGAAAAAAGAAACCTTTCTTAGGAACATGTCTTTATTACAGGTATACTAATAGGATACACAAAATTGCTTTAAATTATTTTGTGGGGAGGAAGGAACATCTTAGTCTGTTCAAGCTGATGTAACAATATGCCACAGGCTGAGTGCTCATAAACAACATAAATGTATTCCTTGTAGTTTGGTTGGGAAGTTCAAGACCAAGGTGCTATCATATTCTATGTCTGGTAAAGATAAGCTTCCTGGTTCATATTTTTGTTGTAAGCTCACATGGCAGAAGGGGCAAGGGAGCCTCTGGGTCTCTTTTACAAGGGCACTAATCCCATTTGCAAGGACTCCACCCTCTGACTTAATCACTTGGCCCACCTCCAAATACTATCAAATTGGGGGTTAGGACTGAGCCCATGTACTTGGAGAAGGCGGTGAGAATGGCACTCACATTCACTCCACACAGGGAGCAAGGACAATTGATGAAACAAGACTGGCAAAATGTCAACAACTGGTGAAGCCTGCGGATAGGACATGAGGTTCACTATACTGTACTCTCTACATTTATGTGTATTTGAAATTCTCCTAATAAACATCTTTAAAAGGAGAGAGAAAAGAATCACTACACAAAGAAATATAACCAAAAAATTTCTTAAACCTCTTTCCAAAAACAGGAAAACATTTTAAAGGCAAACAATAGTTTGCAATTACAAGAAGAACCTGAGTAACAAGAGAAGTATCTTTGTATTAAAGAGCTTTACCTTCGCCATCCTCGATCTATAAGATCCTGATAATCCTGTACGGTCATGGAATGCGCCCACATGCCTGAAAAAATAAGTGCCATGTGCCGTGTTAATTACAGCAAGTTCAACTTTTTAAAAATTTTTTAAATTCAAAATCTTTATTTCAAAATGTGAATACTGAAGCAAAAGAAAAAATCTAGCTCACACTGGAGAAATGAAAGTCTACACATACTTCATACTTAAGTTTGACATACAACACAAATGGAAAAGATATTTATCTTAATTTTATTCATTTATTTATTTATTTTTAAAGATTTTATTCATTAATTTGACACAGAGAGAGAAAGCAAGAGAGGAAACACAAGCAGGGGGAGTTGGGAGAAGGAGAGGCAGGCTTCCCCCTTCCTCCCCGAGCAGGGAGCCTAACGTGGGACTCAATCCCAGAACCCTGGGATCGTGACCTGAGACAAGGCAGAGGCTTTAACCCACTGAGCCACCCAGGCACCCTATTTATCTTAATTTTAAAAATCAAACTTATCAAAGTGATTATATTTAATACAGGATTAGCCAATAGTCTCTATGACTTCATATATTTAAGGTCCTTACTGCAATCAGATTATATCACACTTTTAAACCATAATAACATCCCCAATAATTTAGTAAGCTGGTCACTTCAGAAGAAGTGAAGAGGAAATGTTTTCTTAAGCATATAAATTTTCCTCATTTTTATGTTTTTAGCATAGCTTTGGATATTGAAAATAGAACAAAAATATAGAGCAATATTCCTTTTAAATATAAAAACTGAAAGTAATTGAAATGCCCAGGAACAGAAAAATGATTACAGGGACTATATTATCCATATGACGGGATAATTATGCAACCATTAAAAAAATGAAGACAATGAGAAAACATTAAAAGATATATTTGAATTGATGTTAAAGGAAAAGTAAATTTTTCTCTTGTAAACAGCAAACTGCATCAGAGATATGTAGATAAAGGTAGGCTTGATAATACAAAATATATTCAGAAACAGAAAGGAGCTTGGCAGGCACTCACTGAGTTACTTTATGAGCCTCAAATTCATCATCTATAAAATAGGAATAATAAAACCTACCTACCTAATAGGTGGGGTGCCCTACAGTAAAGATAATCAGAATTAAAACAAACATAATGGAAATTTACAGTTCTCTCTTTAGATGAAAAGGGTGAAAGGTTTCTTCCACAGGACTTTAAACAAAGGACATCTATATTAACCAATTTCCTCTTACAAAATTACTGGCAAAATAATTAAGGATCTAAGAAAATATTCATTTTAGACACCTTTAATACAAAGTGCTTATCACACACATACTGTAGTCATAATACTAAAATTCTGAAAACGGGAGCAATCTCTAATACCCTAAGGCAACCACTGCCACCAGCTGGTGTGTTTCTCCTGGGTTTTTATCCTCCCAGAACTGTGATCATGTCACACACGTCATTTGCATCCTGTTTTTCTCCCTTTAACCGCACACTCTAAACATTTTTCTGCTTAGCTCATCTTCATAACCATCACTCCTAATAACTGCATTATATTAAGTTCTGGTCCCTCTTACCTACAAACATCTAACAATTTCAGTTAATGAGTAAGTGGACATACTATACTCGTCCAAATCATATATATAAATATATATATATATATATTTTTTTTTTAAATGGAAACTACCTAAATTTGTATCTTCGTGGTTATCCCATTTTCCACAATGATGGGCTATTCCTTAAAACAAAAATTTTTTTATCTGCCAATACGTGACAGGGCAGGAAATAAATACAATGTTTCGTTTACAAACAACAAGTCTTCCGAAAGACACTTGAACTGTGACGGGGGCGGGGGCGGGGGGGGGAGAAAAACAAAACAACGTGTAAGCTGGCTTTGTTGTCGTTCTGGAGGTGGGTGGAGGAATGACAAGGCATAGGAGCACCTGGTAAAATTTTCAGACACCTTAGTACAAACAGTACAAACGCTCCCTCGCCAGCAGCGCCTTGGTGGGTCACCAGCATCTTGCACACGCTTCCAGACATTTTATCCCGATGCCCATGCCCACGTATGCACACACACCTCTTCCTGCACAAACAGCCCACCCGACACGCCGCATTCTGCAATGAAAATCTGGGAAGATCCCACTTCGGCATCAGCACTTGGGGGTCCGCCCCAGCGGAACTGACCGCACTGTCGTGCTCCCTGGCACGGCATGCTGTCACACATTTAACCGTCTCCTAAGGACTGATGACGGACACCTGTTTCCACACTTTGGGCCACGGCGAGACAATCATTATCTAGCCCGTCCGAGCACCTGCGTGAAGGATAAGCACCTCGAGGCTTCCCTGATGAATCAGAGCTGAAGTTCATTTTTAATTGGCAGCCACGGCCCAAACCTGCGAGCCGCGTTCCGTACACCCGCCCAGGACAGGATCCGGCCGGAGGATCCGCGCGTCCCTCGAGCCGGTCGGCCCGGGTCAGGGCGCCCCGACCCCCGAGGACGCCCGCCGGCCGCGGAGCCCCCGAGGCCCCGACGCCCTCAGCCGCCCGCCGGCACTCTCACCATTGGAGCGACTGCCCGACTCATTCTTGCAATAGCCGCAGCGGTAGGAGTCTTCGCCCTCGAAATACTCCACGATGCTGGGCGAAAAAGCGGCCCAGGAAGCCATGGCCCCAGCACTCCAAACGCGACGCGACCCAGCCCAGCCCAGCCCCGCTGCCGCCGCCGCCACCCCACAATGCTCCGCGCCGCCCGGGAGTCCCCGAGGCGCGCGCGAAGCTGCTCGGGGGCCCGCAGGCCGGGTTCGCCAGGAGTCCCGCACGTTGACGCCGCCCGCGCCATCTTGGCCGAGGGCAGCCTTCCGCTATTTCCGTTCCTTCTCTAACCGGGACCGCCATCTTCGGTGAGGGTGAAGAGAGAGGACTGTGAAGGGAAATAGTCTGAGAAGAAACGTCTGGGAGAGGGGAGTGCGAGTTTGGGGAGCCGGCCCTGTGCGCTCCCAAGCGAGGGGCTTGCGCGGGGCGCGACGGGCGGTGCTAGAGTCGGACGTCGGCGGCCGCGCCAGCCCTGCCCCTTGGGACACTCACCGCAGGACACCTTGCCCTCCTCGGAGCCGCAGTAGCCGCAGTGGTAGCTGGCCTTGAGCCCTTTGTATTCCACCACCGAGGCCATGGCCGCCTCCAGGGTCCGCCAGGGCCGGCCACGCCTCTCCGCGCCCTGGGGCCGACCTCGGCGGAGCGCGGGGGCCCGCGGCGGGGAGGGGAGGAGAACTGAAGCCTGGGGGGTGCGTCCCAGCGCCCCGACCCGAGCTTCTACCGCCTCCTCGGGGCTCCAGTCTCTGCGGGTGCCGGGGCTTGCGGAGACCTTAGCGAGGGTGGTATTCGTGCCCCCCGGGCCCCGAATTAGGGCCAGCCCTTTGCATAATTCCTCGTCAAGCAGTCGCCAAGCATCACTCATTGTCAGCGCCGTTTTACAGATGAGGAAACTGAGGCACGGAGGTTGTGAGTCAGTCATTACCCGCAGGGCTCAGTATAAAAGTTACTATCTCGGGCGGTCCCTGACAACCATGTGGGGGGCCAGCTCGGATTTCTTCCAAACCAGCACGTCCACTCTTACGTGCCATGTGCAGGTACATGTGCAGGTGTTCTGTGAGTGGCCGGCGTAGATGAATTGAACACTTGATGGTTTTATTTTTTTTTTTATTTTTTTATTTTTTATTTTTTTTTTTTTTAAAGATTTTATTTATTTATTTGACAGAGAGAAATCACAAGTAGGCAGAGAGGCAGGCAGAGAGAGAGAAGGAAGCAGGCTCCCTGCTGAGCAGAAAGCCCGATGCGGGGCTTGAACCCAGGACCTGGGATCATGACCTGAGCCGAAGGCAGCGGCTCAACCCACTGAGCCACCCAGGCGCCCACACTTGATGGTTTTAAAGCAAACAACTTTTGGAGCCAGTAGCCGCCTTCTGACGCTATAAGCCTATTGCCGCCACATCTTACGGCTTTGAAAGAGAAGATCTCGATTCTTTAATGTTCCAATATTTGTAAATGTTATTTTTTTTTTAAATTTTAATGCAAGCAAAACAAAACATGTAGGTTGAATTCAGCCTGTGGACTTCCCTATTTTAAAAAGGTATTTATTTGACAGAGAGAGATTACAAGTAGGCTGAGAGAGGAGGAAGCAGGCTCCCTGCTGAGAAGAGAGCTGGATGTGGGGCTCCATCCCAGGACCCTGGGATCATGACCTGAGCTGGAGGCAGAGGCTTTAACCCACTGAGCCACCCAGGCACCCCTTAAAGATTTTTTTTTTTTTTTTAAGAAAGTAATAGTCTGGAGCAAAGTATAAAAATGAGTACTGCCAACAAGGTAATATTCCTTAATCTTAGTGCATAGATAATTTAAGGTTGTCTTTATATTTTTTGTCAACAAGCTGATTATCTTTTTGTAGTGTTTTGAAAAGTGAAATCATGAACCTTGGAGAAACAAGTAAACTTTGAGGTCAGTTTTATCATTCTTGACCGCAAGGTGCACTATGTTGGATATATGCATTCTTAAGTTGAAGGGGTTTCTTGGTAGCCGCATGACCTGTTATATTACTAAGGATCACTTGTGCCTCACACAACGGGAAGAACCTCAGGGACAGCTGTAGCATGTAGGAGGCTCTCAGGGCCCCTCTAGGTTTCTCCAGTACCTCCTGAAACTTGAAGTTTTGGTACATATCAGTACCCATTAAGACAGACTTCATTCATTTTGTCCAGTATGGCAGATTTGAGTATTCCTGGTCCTTTCCCAGGCAGACTCTTGTTCTGGAAGAAAGTAAAGGCTTGTGGAATGAAACAAAGACAGCAGATGCCATCCTCAGAAAGTAGGAAGCCAGGAGACTTTTTGCTTTTTCTTAGTGTAGTCCTTTACCGATTCATTTATGTCCCGTTGTCCCAACCTTATCCCAAGCCTTAGACCAACCTCTGCCAGGGAATGCCAATCGAGAGCTATAATGCCAATGCCCTAGGCATACGTGTTAACTCATTTAATCCTTACAGTAACTTCACAACATAGGAAATGAAGACTAGAGAGGCTAAATAACCTGATCAAGACCACACAGCTAGTAAGAGACGTAAGACAGTTGTGTGTGGAGGGCAGGAAGAGACCAAAGATAGAGGCAGGTCACTCCAGGTTGGCAGGTGGCAGGTTTTTTGTTTGTTTGTTTTTAAGATTTATTTATTTATTTTAGAGAGAGTGCGCATGTTGTGAACACAAGTGGGAAAGGGGAAGGGGCAGAGGGAGAGAATATCCAAGCAGATTCCCACTGAGTGTGGAGCCCAATGTGGGGCTCCATCTTATAAGCCATAAAATCAGGACCTGAGCCAAAGGCAAGAGTACGATGCTTAACCAACTGAGCCATCCAGGTACCGCCACAGGTGGAAGTCAATAAGCAAAGGGAACCTGCGTATGAGGCTTGCACTGGGCAGCAGCAAGATGAATGGATCCCCACACCACCACACTAACCATGGCTATTGAGCACTTAAATCTTAAAAGTTTGTATAGAGGGACTCCTGGGTGGCTCAGTTGTTTGGGTGTCTGCTTTTGGCTCAGGTCATGATGCTGGGGTCCTGGGATGGAGCCCTGCATCAGGCTCCCTGATCAGTGGGGAGCCTACTTCTCCCACTCCTTCCTGCTCCTGTTCTCTCTCACTATCTCTGTCTCCCTCTCTCTCAAATAAATCTTTAAAAGTTTGCATAGAGAGAGGCCTTAACTGGGTTCAGTCATGTGCCCTGTGCAGGTGTTCTCACCATCACATCATTATCTCAAAGCAATATCCTTGCAGCAACCTCTGGGAGAGCAAAAAGCAAGTGGGACCCACATTCTAAGGACAAAGGAGGAGGCAAGGAGCCTCTGATCACCTGGGTCCAGCTCATTCATGGGTTAACTGGTGGTCATGTCTTTTCAATGACCTTCCACAAGAGAGGTGGAAAAATAAAGGTGATAAAAATAAAATTATGAAAAAGAGATCAACAAGGACTATAGGGCAGTGGTTTCTAGATGTCTTTATTTTGCTGAAAGTTAGAGACAAGTTTTCATCTTGCAGGCCTAAATGAGAAAAATAAAGCAAAGCTTTAGTTCCCTCTTTTGCAGACAGACATGGGAAAAGGACATTATTAGAATGTTCTTTTATAGAAAGAACAAGAACCATATGATACTCTCAATAGATGCTGAAAAAGCATTTGACAAAGCATCCTTTCTTGATCAAAACTATTCAAAGTGTAGGGATAGAGGGTACATACCTCAATATCATCAAAGCCATCTATGAAAAACCCACAGCGAATATCATTCTCAATGGGGAAAAACAGAGCTTCTCCGCTAAGATCAGGAACACAGCAGGGATGTCCATTATCACCGCTCCTATTCAACATAGTACTAGAAGTCCTAGCCTCAGCAATCAGACAACGAAAAGAAATTAAAGGTGTTAGTATCAGCAAAGAAGAAGTCAAACTCTCACTCTTTGCAGATGTTATGATACCTTATTTGGAAAACCCAAAAAACTCCACTCCAAAACTGCTGGAACTCATACAGGAATTCAGTAAAGTGTCAGGTTATAAAATCAATGCACAGAAATCAGTTGCATTTCTATATACCCAACAGCAAGACAAAAGAAACCAAAATTAAGGAGTCAATCCCACTTATAAGTGCACCCAAAACCATAAGATACCTAGGAATAAACCTAACCAAAGAGGCAAAGACTCTGTACTCAGAAACTATAAAGTACTCATGAAGGAATTTGAGGAAGACAGAATGGAAAAACGTTCCATGCTCCTGGATTCAAAGAGCAAATATTGTGAAAATATCTATGCTACCTAAAGCAATTTACACATTTAACACAGTCCCTATTAAAATACCATCAATTTTTTTCAAAGAAATGGAACAAATAATCCTATAATTTATGTGGAACAAGAAAAGACCTTGAATAGCCAGAGGAATGTCGAAAAAGATAGTCAAAGCTGATGGCAATACACAATTCCAGACTTCAAGCTCTATTACAAAGCTGTCATCATCAAGACAGTATGGTCCTGGCACAAAAACAGACACATAGATCAATGGAACAGAACAGCGAGCCCAGAAATGGACCCTCAACTCTACGGTCAACTAATCTTCGACAAAGCAGGAAAGAATGTCCAATGGAAAAAAGACAGTCTCTTCAACAAATGGTGTTGGGAAAATTGGACAGCCACATGCAGAAGAATGAAACTGGACCATTTCCTTACACCACACAAGAAAATAGACTCAAAATGGATGAACGGCCTCAATGTGAGACAGGAATCCATCGAAATCCTTGAGGAGAACACAGGCAGCAACCTCTTCAACCTCAGCCACAGCAACTGCTTCCAGTTTCTGCTTTCCAGAAACATCACCAAAGGCAAAGGAAGCAAGGGCAAAAATGAACTATTGGGACTTTATCAAGATCAAAAGCTTTTGCACAGCAAAAGAAACAAGCAACAAAACCAAAAGATAACCAACAGAATGGGAGAAGATACTCGCAAATGACATATCAGATAAAGGGCTAGTATCCAAAATCTATAAAGAACTTATCAGATTCAACACCCAATGAACAAATAATCCAATCAAGAAATGGGCATAGGACATGAACAGACATTTCTGCAGAGAAGACATCCAGATGGCCAACAGATACATGAAAAAGTGCTCTATATCACTCGGCATCAGGGAAATACAAA